GTTGAAGGATCGACGAAAAGAGATCATGAATTATTTTTTCAAAATAATAATAAAGTAACGTATCCTATATCAGTCATTCCATATGTAATTGCACATACGGTAAAGAATTGGCAGATTTTCGAGATCTCCAGAGTTTTACAACAGAATTAGAGAATAAATCGAAATATACAGCAAAACGTGTAATAAAAATTCGGGTAATAAATATATTTCTTGGATCATAATCTTGATATTCTTTTATTTTTTTCATTGAAGCTTAGAGTTCATATGCGCGATCATTTGTGAGTGATGACCGATTAAATTAGTTGTATTTTCCATCAAAATTTGATTTAACATTTACAATCACAAAATTAGATATTATACATACCTGTGTAGCATATGCTAAAATTAAAAATAAAAGTTTATCTAATCCATTGTCGAGTCATACTATAACCACTCGATTTTATATAATGGATGATAACGCTTGTAGCGAACTACATTTAGAACTACATTTTGAATAGCGCGGCTAACAGCCCAGACAGCACAAATGTCCAAAATCGAGTCATAAAACGTCTTTAGAACGTCTTTAAGACATCTTTAAGGGCTGCAGGAGTCATACTAGAGACATCTAACGGAGAGCCGCAAACTAGGCAAACATAGAAAAGAAATTGTGGTCAAAATATAAAAAGAATGGCTTTATAATTGCAATATTTGTAATCAAAATAAACGTCCGCAGATCGGTACAGAGCGATTTTTGGGAAAAAAGATTGAAATAAATATCGAATAAATTATTCTTCCTGTCATGCGTTCGCGCGTCCTATGCATTATGGCCCCTGCACACAGGATGCGGTAATGCGGAAGTTCGCGCGACAGCCAATCAATATGTTGTTTTTCCGTAAGAGCTAGAAGGTTATTACGGAAAGCAGCATATTGATTGGCTGTCGCGCGAACTTCCGCCGCGCGGCAAGCATTACCGCGTCCTGTGTGCAGGAGCCATTAGTATGCGTGAATATGTATACATGTCCGTGATGGTGTAAGGACGAATTGTATATAGTACAGCTTTTGAATATAGATATATTCCAATATACACTTCCGGAATAGAAAACCTATAGTATACGCAACATGAACTATAGATATTCTGTACTCGCAGTGTATGTGGAAATTCAATCTATCTCACTCTGATATAAAGAAAAGAATATTTACATCATATATTTCCTTCTAGCTTGAATATTAAAATGTGGCGTGGTAATGCCGCCGATATTAATGTAAAAAACAAGTAAAAAATGGTCATCGTGGCAAACATTAAGTTTCCAAAGCAGTATTTGTAATGTAGAATATGCTTACTCGACAGGTGCAGTGCCAGAACATACGTGACTATTATATTTAAATAAAAATGTATGCACAACTATTTGCAAAATCTGGCTCGGAAGCGACCTCGACAATAATGTAAGGAACAAAATAAAAATAGGTTTCATAGCAAATATTGCGTCTTCCGAGCAGAATATCTAACTATATGCTTACACGAGCGGTGCGCTACAAGCTGCATATGCGCCTATTATATTTCAACAAAAATTTATACGCATTCCTTTAAAAAATCTAGCTGTGTAGTGACCTCGTTAACAATGTAAGAAACAAATAAAAAATGAATTTCGTTGCAAACATGGCGTCTCCCAAGCAGAATACTGGGTTAGATATTCTGCTTGAGAGATACAACAAAATCCACTTTTTATTTGTTCCTTATATTATTAACAAGGTCACTACACAGCCAGATTTTTCGTAGAAATGCGTATAAATTTTTGTTAAAATATAATAGACGCGTAATAGACTTGTAGCGCACCACTCGCGTAAAGATACAGTAGAGAAGATATTCTGCTTCAGAGACGCAATGTTTGCTACGACAATTTTTTATTTGTTCCTTACATTATTAACGAGGTAAGTCACAGCCAGATTTTTCATATAAAATGCGTATAAATTTTTGTTGAAATATAATAGACGTGTATGCAATTTGTAGCGCATCATTCGTGTGATCATATACTGAGTTAAGTATTCTGCTGGAGAGACACAATGTTTGCTACAAATGTCATTATTTACTTGTTCCTTACTTTATTATGAAGATCGCTATACAGCCACATTTTCGAAATAAGTATACATAAATTTTTATTTAAATTTTTATTTTATTTTTATTTAATTTTTATTTTTATAATAAGTGCGTATGCTATAGCGGACGAGCAAGCTTCCCAGGTAGCAAAGTGACGTCTAAAGACGTCATTAAGACGTTATTAAGACGTCTATGACGTTTTAATGACGTCTTTAGACGTCACTTTGCTACCTGGGTTGCTATAGCAAGCAAGCATATCCTGCATTATGCTCGAGAGACGCAATATTTGCCATGAAGACCATTTTTACTTGTTTGTTATTGTGGTTGCGTTGTTTCGCGTTTACAAGATCTTAGCTTTTAGGTATAATCGGCGCTCGCAGGAGGAGATGGGAATACGCAATGATGAGATAAGATCAACATGAATGGTCCAGTTTATTGCTTTTACATAACTTGTGTGTGTATGCAGTGTGCAGTTTTATGTATCTGAAGCATCAGTGTATAGTTCCACACCAGGGCCGAATCCTAGGACGGCCGCGGTAGACGGCTGTCCTCGATCGCGTCGGTTTCTTTGACGAGCGGTTATGCGCCCGGAATTTCTCCGGCCGGGCTAGCTTCTGGAGAGACCTGCGGTGTCTGACGGCTCCCGGTGGGTGCGTCGGCTTCCTTGGCGACGTGGTCCTGTTGTTCCCTAGCGAGGTTGTGTCGCCTTGTCAGCCGTCGGTCGCGACGGCGGAGGCGAGGGCGAGCTCAATACTGGTTCGGTATACCGGGACGAGAGCAGGCGCCGAGCCCTAACGCCACACGTTGCCAACTGGTCCAGCGGCGGCTTGGTGCGCCTAACCGACGAGAGGCTCAGGACGCATAGGCTCCATGGCCTAAAAGTCTCGACAAGGTAACCGCCCGGGTCCTTGATCCTTTCTGGCGTGGAGATCCCTGTCACCCGATGCTGTGACGTTGTCATCCTGGGCGCCTCTGTGTGGATGACAGTAGGAGGATTCGAAGCCGCCGATGCTGCCTTACGAGGCCGCTTGAGGAGCGAAGGCATCCTTGGAGGTGCCGCGCTCCGTCGTGGTCGCTTTCGTGGCGACGACGTCCGTGGCAGGCGTGTCGGCGAGAGCGTCGCCGGCAATGAGGACCACGTGGACAACGGCGAACTAAGAGCGTGTGTTACCGGCTCCGCCACCTGGTCATCTTCGCTGTCGGTGCCGAAGAGATCCCGCAGCTGGTTGTGGAGCGGCTGACGGCAGGTGTCTTTGGCCTCGCCCTGAAGCCGTTCCTGTTGGTGCTTCAGGGTGTCCTGAGACCCGTGCAGCGTGTGTAGCTCTCTCCTTGTAGGAGAGTTGGCTCCGAGTTCGCTTTCGCTCTGTGTCGCTTGTTCTCTTAAGATCTTTCCTCTGTCGAGGTCGAGAGCGAATTAAATCCATTGGCACCTTGTTCTCTATTTATACTCCTTTTCTTTCCATGTGTTGGACGTCCGTGAATTAAATTTCTCCGAAAAATCGCGAGGCTCGCGCTTCTCGGAAACGTGTCGCGAGCTTCGCGTTTCTCGGAAAAGTGTCGCGAGGCTCGCGCTTCTCGGAAGCGCGTCGCGCGTAAGATGATTATATAATTTGTAATTCAATTCAATTTTTTATATTAAAGATCGTTATTATTAGGTTACATATAAAAATGGACGTGCCGTTATTGTTATGGAATTTATTTTTCAAAAATGAAGACGAGTATGATGAAAACATATACTTAGAACATATTCATGAACGACATATAAGAATACAAATGTATTTTGAAAATACTGTTATCGCTTATTCACCAGATGGTAAGTGAATATGAAAAACATAATTAATTCCTACTGTTAAACATATTTAAATATATTTAACTATATTTAACAATATTCCGATATTAAATATATTTAAATATATTTAACAATAAGAATTAATTATATGTTTTTCATATTTCATTTACCATCTGGTGAATAAGCGATAACAGTATTTTCAAAATACATTTGTATTCTTATGTCGTTCACGAATATGTTCTAAGTATATGTTTTCATCATACTCATCTTCATTATTGAAAAATAAATTCCATAACAATAACGGCACGTCCATTTTTATATGTAACCTAATAATAACGATCTTTAATATAAAAAATTGAATTGAATTACAAATTATATAATCATCTTACGCGCGACGCGCTTCCGAGAAGCGCGAGCCTCGCGACACTTTTCCGAGAAACGCGAAGCTCGCGACACGTTTCCGAGAAGCGCGAGCCTCGCGATTTTTCGGAGAAATTTAATTCACGGACGTCCAACACATGGAAAGAAAAGGAGTATAAATAGAGAACAAGGTGCCAATGGATT